TTCTCCTATTTTAAATTTAGGGTATATCGGATCGCTTTGTAATCTCCATATTGAATTAGGTGTGTCATTTACTCTACTCATAGGTGCGCTAAAAGCTGTTCCAATGAAGCAAAATATTGCAAGAATTACAAGCATATATGGGCTAAGACTTCCTATTCTTGGACTTCGATTTCTCTCAAAACTCAATCTTCGATTTGGCGATCGATCATAGTAATTATTTGAATTTCGTTCCAATGAATTATTTTCTCGCTCACTGCTACTTGAGCGGCTACTTAAGCTACTTGAGCTATCGTAATTTTTATAATTTCTTGTTCTATTATTTGACCTATTATTTCTTTGATAATTTTCATCTCTATAAGGTCTATTCTCGTTAAAATTATTATAATTTTTACTAAAATTTTGACTATTCTGCCAAGGGCGATTTTCAAATCTCCCAAAATGTTGGGGTCGGTAATATCTATAATTATACTCATTCTTTAGGAAAAAGCAGTTTCTAGCAATGTGACCTGCTTTCTTGCAATTAAAGCAGATGATCTTTTTCCTTCTATTATTTTCGATCGTCGATACCTCTACTTTTTCTGCCAAACTAGCAACTGAAATATTATTAGTTAGCTTTTCTTGCTGCAAGCAGCAGTTCATAATTCAGTGCTATTTCGTACGCATTATCATATTCTAGCGGCCTTTGCGCTTTAACCTCGAATTGTAAATCCGGCATAAGTCTATCCAAGAATTCGTCTAAAAGTCGTTTTTTAATTGTTTCCTCCTCTTCCCCGGAGAGGGCTGTTCGGACAGTATCCGAAAGACGATTTGCGAATTCAAATACTGATTCGCCTGGAGCTTGTCTACAATTTGATAATTTTTGACGAGCGATTACTTTACTATTGCCGTTCTCAAATTTTCTTCTTAGAGCTGTAATTGCCTCCGCCAACGTATTAGGTTGGGGGTTTAATTCATCAAACGCCATCCGTGCTTGACCCGCCAAGCAAAAGCGTAAACGCAATAATTTTTGCGCTTCTGTAGGCTCAATCATCAAAGATAAAACGTCCTTAAATTTTTCTATCCACTTAGTAAACGATACTGTGGGGTTTCCGTCAAATGTACCCACTACAAATACTCCATTACCAATAAATGGGTCAGTAACATAAGCTTCTCTATTATATCTCATATTATTATCATTCTCATTCGCATCACGAATGGTTATATCCGATTCGTCTACAGAACTGTCTTCTTCCTCCTCAAAATTTTCATATCTTTTAATTTTATAGTTTTTCCCTAATTTTACAATTTTATTCATTCTCTCTTCAAAATTCGTTTGAAGGTCTGTTAAATTATTACGTAATTTAGTTATTGTACCCTTAGTTCCGTTAAGGCCATCCTTATTCGGTGGTGAGACATATGAGGACAGACACATGAGGACAGACATATGAGGACGGATATATGAGGACGGACATTTGAGGACGGATGTATGAGGACGGACATTTGAGGACGGATGTATGGAAAAAATAAAAAATTACTTCAAAATTAGCCAATTTTCCCGTTATTTCAATATTTGGCACTTTTTGCAAATTATTTCAATATTGTTGCAAATTTTTGCCAAAATTTTGTGAATTTTCATAAATTTTCAGAAAAAAGTGGAAAAAATTTGGCGATTGTCCTCAGAAATTTCCAAAATTTTCGCCTGCGGCGCTGAAAAGGGGAAATCCTAGCTTATTTAAAGTAAGAAAAAATGTCCCAATGAATAAACCCGAAAATGAGCAAACCCTTAAAACATCCCATCTTTTGCCTAATCTCAAAATGTCCAACAGAGTAAAATACTCAATTCGTCGAGCTATAAACATAATATGCCTCGAAACACCCTCTGAACATAAGCTCACAAAACCTTCCACTGAAAAAAACTCAAAATCCACTAAGCATTCCCAAAATGTCTTATGTCCATCTGAAATTGCACAAGATACCTTTTCCTTAATTTTCTGTCCTGAAATGACAATTTTCTCTGGTTTCAAGCAAAATAAAGTTTTTTCACTAAAATTAAGCTCTTTTTCATTGTATGTTACAAATAAATCATAATTTATTTCAATATTTCACTAATTTTTGGCATTTTTTGTTAAGATTTTGCCGATTTGTATATAATTTTGTATCCTCAAATGTCCGTCCTTAAATGTCCGTCCTCAAAAGTCTGTCCTCAAATGTCCGTCCTCATATGTCCGTCCTCATATGTCTGCCTGCCCCTTATTCGTTGTTACACTTTCCTCAATCGAATCTAATCTTTCTTCGACGTGGCGAAAACTTTGAGCCACGGAGCGCTCAAAGGAGCGAAGTTGTCTCAAAATCTTATCAAATGCCTTATTTTCTTCGTCACTGAAAAACTCAGCAGCAAAATCTGAACCTGTCATTTTCTCTTCTTTTCTTCAAATTTTATTCGAAAATATTTTTTCAAATCTCTTTCACTTTTAATCACTCTTTTTTCAATCAAATCTTTTTTTTTCAGACCAATCTCTTCTTTTTATTTAATTTTTTCTTTAAATTCTTCTTCTACTTTTTCAAACAATACCTAAAATTTCTCTTCTTTTTCAATACAATACTTCTTTTTCTAATTTTTCTTCTTAAACTTTCAAATATTTATCTTCCTCTTTTAAATCTCTCAATTAATCACTTCAACAAATATTCAAATTAAAAAATTTTTTTTAAATTTAATCTCCGTTTAATTCGCAACGGGTTCATGGCACCAATATTATGTCCCGGTTCTTCTATATTAATTAAATTCTAAATATATTCTTCTTAATACTCAAATCTCAAATAAATCTAATTCAAATACTCAACAAATAATTATACACAAGTTTAATAAGTTTATTTGAATAAGTTGGGGTTTAGTTTTGGTAGCAAGTGTGATCAAGACGCATTCTGTTACACTCCTGAAATAAAAATAAAATTATTTGCCGATGACATCAAAGCCTATCAAATTCTAACAAAAACCGATTCTAACAATTCTTTACAATTATTTATTAATAAATTCATTCAATATTGTAACATCAACGGTCTCAACATATCATTAAATAAATGCTCAGTATTATATATAGGTAAATCAAACCCTAAATTACAATACTCAATAGGAAACCACAAAATATTCCAAATTAGTAATGAAGACAAGAATAGGGATCTCGGAATTTTCTTCACTTCTAAATTCAAGTTTAATAAACATATTCAAACAATATCTATAAGGGCCAATAGAAACTGCTATGCATTAATTAAATCTCTAAAATCACAAGATCCTAAAATTCTTATAGAAGCATTTAATATATACGTAAGGTCAATTATAGAATTTGGGTCACCGGTTTGGAATTCTTTAACTAAGAAAAACATTAAATTAATAGAAAACATACAAAAACGATATTTAAGATTTGTTTACAAAAGAATCACAAAGGTAAAAATAGAAGATATTCCGGTACTTTTCCGTTTTGTTACACCCCCCTATATTAATGCTCAAAATGTCACATATAAGGTAATAAAAGGTGCTGAGTCGAACGGCACCCTTCTTTTTCCCAGGAGATGTCTGTGGACCGAGATATAGGGCTCGAAATGGTCAAAAACCATAGGGGGGAGTATGTTCATTTTCGGGGTAAAAATTCGAATATACAAATAATACCCCATTCGAAAGAGCTCATAGAGCTGAGTCGAAAGACACCAAGATCAACGAAATCTGATTTGATTTGACCGAGATTCAGGTCCCTGAAAATTGAAGAACCCCACAATTTTTTGTATCGTAACTCGGTCCAAACTTGTTCGAAGACGGTGATTTTGGTGTCATTCAACTCAGCTCGTCGAGCTATTTCGAATGAGTTATTATTTGCACATTCGAATTTTTCACTTTTTTTGGCCTCGTACTCGTACTCGTACCTCGTACCACCCTTATTTTTTTGCTCGTACTCGTACCTCGTACCACCCCTATTTTTTGCCTCGTACCTCGGACTCGTACCTCGTACTTACTCGTACTTAAGAAAAAAGCAAAAAATCGAAAAGTTTTATGATTTTTTTAAGCCCAGGCATCTATTTTTAAATTTTAAGCGTTGTATGCGATAGTTTTTGAATCTTGGAAGGCTTTGAAGCCATAAATCCTCCGATTTCATCCATTTTCTGCGCCTCAAGCGAAGGTTTTGAGCATTTTGGAGTGCAATTAGCTATATTTCCTTTAAGATGGGTCGGTTTCCAAGATGGGTCGGGTATTTTTTCATCCGTTTTTAATTCTCTTCCATGGAACGCTATTCATTTTTAAACATTCTTTCTTATAGTTTTATCTCCTGATATCACTCTTAATCTCAATTCCCTTTCTGCGCCGCAGGCAAAAATTCTGAAAATTTTGGATGTTCTTAAGCCAGATTTCTTTCATTTTTTGCGCCGCAGGCGAAAATTTTCAAAATTTTGAAGGCCATAAAGCCAGATTTTCTTGCCATAAAGCCAGATTTTCTGCGTCGCAGGCGAAAATTTTGAAAATTTCGGAAGGCCGTAGGCAAAAAATTCACTTTATAGTGTTTAAAGTAAAATATTTTAAGAATTTTAGAGGGTCAAAATCTGATAATTACTTCAAGTAAAAATAAAATAAATGTTAAAACAAAATTAAACTTATAAAATAAGTTATTTATGGAAAGAAAAATTTGAAAAACCCTTGCCCTCTGACAAGGCATCGAACCCACCTTTAATTCATTAACGTCTTTGGTGAAGCCTAACGCCTTCACCACTCGGCCACTCGCTCATATAATGGTGAATGAAAAGAATTAAATATATTTCTTTAATTTTCCTATTAACACCAAGTACTAGAAGTACGAGCTCGTACTTAGGCCTCGTACCAGGGCTGGGCTTTGCTTTCGCATCTTTCGCATCTTTCGCATTTTTCGCATTTTTTGGCGCGAAAAGTTTCGCATTTCGCATTTTGGTCCAAATGCGAAATTTGTTTCGCATTTTTCATTTTGTATTTCTTTATTTTTTAGAAATTTTTTTAAATTATAATGTCTTTAATATGGAAGTATTTCTCACTTTCTGGAAGAGTAGCGTTCTGCAAAAGTTGTAAATTTTCAAAAAACTACCCGCCACGTTCGCCAACAACATTTTTAATCTCACATTTATGTGCCAGTCATCCAGAATTGTATGATGATTTTTTAGCGAAAAGAAAAGCAAAGGTGCCACAACAACAGACATTAAAAAGGTTTAAGATTCTAATAAGTTTATTTTAAATTAAATATTTAGAGCATTTGCGGAATCAGCACCAACAACATCTCAGGTTTCTGATGATTTGGATGTTATTACTGATCAGGATATTGATTTAATGGATTTTGATGAGACTGAAAAAACAAAAATTTCGGAGCCAGATATTGCTATTGCATTAAGAGCCAAAAGTTTTTTTAAATTTTTAATTTAATTATAAAAAAATAGGTCCTTGGGATAAAGATGGAGATAAAAGAAATATGATAAATAAATTTCTAATGGAAATGATTTGTGTTGATTTGCAGCCCCTTTCTATTGTAGAAAATATTGGATTTAGAAGATTAGTCAACGAATTACAGCCAAGGTATAAAATTCCGTCACGCCAATTTTATCCAAAATTGCAAAACGCTTTCTATCAGCACCTTGTACATCAGCTGAAGCAGAAAGGTTGTTTAGTAGTGCAGGATTAATAATAAACAATCTAAGGAAGAGTCTTCTTCAAGAAAATGCAGAAATGCTATTATTTTTGCATCATAATCTCGTAATTTATAATTTTGAATATGAATAAAATTTTTTTTAGAATTTTTAACTAATTTCGCTTTCGCATCTTTCGCATTTTTCGCATTTTTTGGCGCGAAAAGTTTCGCATTTCGCATTTTATTTTTTTTAAAAAAGTTTCGCATTTCGCTTTTTATTTTTTGATTTCGCCCAGCCCTGCCTCGTACCTCGTACTTTTCACTTTTTTTGGCCTCGTACTCGTACTCATACTTCGTACCTGCTCCATTTTTTTGCTCGTACTCGTACTTCGTACCAGGTACGAGTACGAGGTACGAGTACGAATTTTGATACGAGCTTCGAAGCACTGGTAGAATCCCTTGAAAGTCGAAGACTTAAAGCTGATTTAAAGCTATTTCATCAAAATATATTTGGGAAAATTAAAATTAACCATAATAATTCCTATATGATAAAACAAACAAAAACTAGGGGCGAAAAATATAAAATACAACCAACACGTTGTTCAATCATGATTCGGTACAATTCCTTTTTTGTTCGAACTGCCAGAATTTATTCACTAATTCCTATAGAAATTAGAAAAAATACACCCAAAATGTTTTCTAAACTTCTTGCACAGTTGAATATTTCCAACATCTTAAATGACAAATGATAATTTTATTTATTAAGCTGCTTTGATTTTTATTTTAAGGATATTTTTTATGGGTGCCGGAATTTTCGTCTCTGGAAATTTCGTCTCCAAGACTTTTCGGAACTTTCGTCTCCAACATTTTCGGAATTTTTGTCTCCAGCGGAATATTCGTCTGCAAGGAGATAAACGGAATATTCGTCTCCAAAATTTTCGTCTCCGCTAGGAATTTTCGTCTCCAGGGGAAAATTTACCCGTTGACGGAACAGCCTCCCCCGCTGACGGAACAACATCCCCCGTTGACGGGGACTTTCCCCCACTGACGGAACAACTTCCCCGTCAACGGGGGATCGTCCCCGTCGACGGTGGATAGTCCCCGTCAACGGGGATCGTCCCCGTCGACGGGGAATAGTCCCCGTCAACGGGGGATGTTGTTCCGTCGACGGGGGAAGTTGTTCCGTCGACGGGGGATAGTCCTAGTCAACGGGGGAAGTTGTTCCGTCGACGGGGGATCGTCCCCGTCAACGGGGGATAGTGTTCAGTCAGCGGGGGAAGTTGTTCCGTCAACGGGTAAATTTTCCTCTGGAGACGAAAATTCCTACCAACACCCTCCGTGACGGGACAACTTCCCCCGTTGAAGAACCAACACCCCCCGTTGACGGTACAACATCCTCCGTTGAAGAACCAATACCTCCCGTTGAAGAACCAACACCCCCCCCCCCCCCCCCGTTGACGGACAACATCCCCCGTTGACGGGAGAACTTCCCCCGTTGAAGAACCAACACCCCCGTTGACGGGGCAACTTCCCCCGTTGACGGAACAACTTCCCCCGTTGACGGAACAACATCCACCGTTGACAAGCTGGAGACGAAAATTCCTAGCGGAGACGAAAATTGCGGAGACGAATATTCCGTTTTTTCCCTTGGAGACGAATATTCCGCTGGAGACGAAAATTCCGAAAATGTTGGAGACGAAAGTTCCGAAAAGTCTTGGAGACGAAATTTCCAAAGACGAAAATTCCGTACACCATTTTTTATTTGCATTTTTATTTTTCATAATTTCACTTCAAATTGTTTTATTTTTGACTGTCACACCCTAGTGGTGTAAATAAATAAATAAAATAAAAAATTTTCCAAGAGAGCAATAAGTTCCACGCGGAGACCAGGATGGCTTCCCGGCCGTTGCACCAAAAAGATTTGTAGTAAACGCCTAGGGACAAGAGTCTAAGTTTCAGCCTGAGAGCCTAATTCAAACAAAACTTCCAATCCAATTAAATAATATTTATTTTCCAAATCAAATTAAATCCAACAAATAAAAGCAAGACAAGTAATAGTAAGCCAAAGCAATAAGTGTGAGCCAACCAAAAGAACCAAGGAAAGGAACCAAACCAACAGAAAGTTAACAGAATGAAGCTAATAGAGCCAGCCGTGAACCAAGAAAATGGAACCCCGAAAGAGAAATAAGCAAAGTTTAAATAAGGGAAACAAGGGGTGTTAAATTAGATTAAAACAAATAGTGCAGGTGCTAAAAAATGGAAAATCAAAACATAGCTTTAAAGAAAAAGTTGTTTACGATTAAAAAAGGAAAGGGACAATTAATTTAGATAAGTTAAAAAATATAAAAATTCTTAAACATGAAAAGAAATTCCTAAACAGCAGGTGCGGTTAGAATAATTTAGTTTAGAAAAAAACATAATGAAATGTAATTTTAGAAAAAAATAAACTTAGAAAATTAAATTCTAATTGTCGCCTTTCGCGACAATCATAAAAATAATTTTTTTAATTTTCCAACAAGAAAACTTAAATGATTTTGTAGGTTTTAAAGGGGATTAAAGTAAAATTTTGATCGTCACAGAAAGAAACTCTCAGGTCTACCAAATCATGAGAAATAGGTTTTGTGTAACAAAGAAAATAGAATGCTTTGAATTAAGGTAGCTTTAAATTTTTAGGCAAAAACCACGACCCGAAATCCGATGCCCACCCCCGCGCGGCAAAACACTCCCGCCACCGAAGCTCGGGGTGCTACTCTATTTTGAATTCTAATGAATCGAATCAGAATTCAATTCATTCAATACTTCCTCTCAAAATACCATGTTGAAAGTCTAAAAATTATTCAAAACATTATGAAAATAATTATTTAAAAATAATTTAAAAACCATTTTTTAATATTTAATTTTTTTATGCATTCATTTAATTCTTCGATTTGTCCTTCTTCAAATTCGTGATTAACTATTTCATTATAATCTCCTATAAACGTAAAATTCATTTTCTCGGTATATTTTAAAAAAATCTTTAATTTTATCCTCTCCATTTCTAATTAATTCTGGTACTTTTTCCTCAAAATAATGTCCATCAAATCCAAAATGTTTTAAAAGAAATGAAGTTAAACAAATTGACTGATCTTCTAAAATTACACATTGTTAAGTATTAAATAAAGAGATATGTATTGTTACAATAAAATTTTATTGGTAATACTTCGGCTGATGCCCCTCCCCATTTTTCCGATAAATCATTTGAAAGAGTTCTTCGAGCTGAGTGGCACAAAAATCATCGAAAGTTGACCTAATCAACTTAGTAGTCATGACCGTTTGTTTTAACCCCTTATAACAGCACAAAAGGCCTTTCCATCGAGGATTCGTCATCATATTTTGCTTGTATTAATCGAATCTAACCGATCACCATTTTATTTTTAATTTTAAAAATAATTAAAAAAAAGTTTTTTTGTTTATCAGCAGCTAAAGATTATTTATCCTTTTATTAAACAAAAAATATTTCATATAAAATCTCCTTATACCTACCTAACTTCTGAATGTTTCTGATACGATCAAATAATCTTTATTATTTTCAATAAATATCTCTCGAATATTTAAAATATTTTTATCTATTTCATTCCACCAATAAATATAATTTTTAATTCTATTAAAGTAACCTTCATTATATTTTTCATTCAAATATTTATTTAAAACTTTTGAACAAATTTTTTTATATTTTTTATTCATAGAGTTTAATAGAGATGTGCGAGACTCTTGGTCTTGGTCTTGGAACCAAGACTTTTCTTGGTTTTTTTTTCGGTCTTGGTCTTGGGGTGTTTGTCTTGGTCTTGTTTTGGGTTTATTTTTTGGTCTTGGTTTTTTGGCCTTATTGGACCTAGTGCTTGGTCATCCAAAATCCTCAAAATTTTCGCCTGCGGCGCAGAAAAGGGAAGAAATCTGGCTTTCTGAACTCCAAAATTCAAAAAATTTTCGCCTGCGGCGCTGAAAAAGTGAATTTTTTGCCTACGGCCATCCAAAATTCTCAAAATTTTTGCCTGCGGCGCAGGAAAAGAAAGATTTTTGGCTTCGTGAACTTCGTAATTCCCAAAATTTTCGCCTACGGCGCTGGAAAATGAAGAATTCTGGCTTCTTGGCCTTCCAAAATTTTCGCCTGCAGCAAAATTTTTGGCTTAAAATTCCTCCAAAATTGTACTAATTTTCGCCTCCGGCGCAAAAAGATATGGATAAAATAGAGGATGGATATCAGCAGCCAGCATCACTCAATCACCCAGGTCCCCCAACTTCATAATATTCCTTTTGATCCCTTTTAATCCACTTAAATTCCCCTTTAAATTAATTCAAGGGCGTAGTAATCCAAGGGCGTAGCCAGGGGGTCGATTTCGAGGAGGGCTAACGTTGGGCGTCGCCAAAATTTTGGCTCTACCCTTTGATATCACTAATATCCCGTTAATCCACCCAAATCCTCTGAAATAATAACCTATTTTATTGATTTTCCACCCGGATAAATTCCCCGAAATTCTTTGAATTTCGCATAGATTTTTTGAAATTATAGGTGATTGGGCTGAAGTTGACTGTGATCGTATCAAAATAACAAAAAATAAACTAAAAATTTGACC